TATATATATATATATATATATATATGATTAAATGCTGTTAATTGGTATTCAATTTTGTATATTTCTGTCCAAAAAGGCTTTACTTTTTCCTAGAATCTCTGTCCTGGTGTTTTGATATATCATGCCCAACAAAACAGTAACTAACGATGTTGTTCAAGAAGGCAAATGCTTGAGAGAATGTTTTATCTGACAACCATGTATGGAGAAATTGACGCCCATAGCTAGCATGCTTATACATATATAAAAGAAGATTGAAAGAACATAAAAAACAATTAAAATGAAATTAACGATTTTTTTTATATTGGGAATGTATCCAATAAAACGAAGGAGACATGGAAAATAATAAATTGTGAACTAGGGAAGCCAATGTAGTTTGACGCTGGGAAGGGGGGCATTACTTTAAATTACAATTCAAAAAAACCGGGCTGGTGGATCGTGGTCAAATAGAACTTGTAGTACAAAACGTTTCGTTTGCTACTGTGGCAGACTTGACTGATTCTCTATTTCCTATCGTTTACGAAATCCCCATGCATAGATTCAAATTTGAATAACCCTGTGTATTAAATAATTTTTCTGATATAATATTTGAGTAATATAAGTTATGACTAAAAATATTTGTCTTCAAAAAAGAAGAGAAAATGTGAACAAGACAGTCGACATTTTCAACTCCAATAAAATCTAGCTTAAATTAAACATATTTTATATTGCATCTCTTCAACTTCAACTTAAAAAAATACAAATGAATCATAAATGAATCTGTGAAGATTAAAATAGCTATATATGTGTTTCTTCTTCGGGGTCCTCACTAAAATGAATGTTACTCGCAGCTGTAAATATTGTGTATCTGGGTGGTTTTCTCCAAATAGCACTGGATGTCCTCTTCAACTTCCGAGGATCAATAATTGTAAAAATTTCTTGCAGGTCTGGAGTGTGAGTTTGCAAAGAGAATAAAGTATTTTTCATTTTCTCTCCAACAACTTGCATCGTTAACAAAGTTTTCTCAAGTACCCTACCTGAAAATGGTTAATGAAGTTAGATAAGTGAGGTTCAGCTGAACTATTTCTAAACATAACTAAACATAAACAGTTTAATCTTCCTCTTGAAGATGATCACTTGGTGATCGAAACACGTGTCGAGGTGTTAAAATAACGATTTGGTGTTGTGAAAAAACTCCAGTAATATTCATAACTTATGGAAGTTTCCAATTTAATATTTGGTGACCCCGACGAGATCACTATATGGAGAAACGTACGCCCAAGCGAGAAAGTGCAGGTCTGAATCAAAGTTTGTCATCGGACTACGTATGACCAAACGGATTTGGAAATCGTGAGAAACCAGAATCCAATCTAGACAAACTACCTGAAAAAGTCGTTGAAGATAAATCTGGCGAGTCAACTTCCTTGATAAATGAGGTTCACTCGAAGCAATCTGTTCACTCGAAAGCCTCAAGGGATACCGGATTATCTCGACGAAGTAGTTTGGATTTGAAATAGAAAAGAATAGCTCTAAAAATAGAAAGACAAAGACAGGAGCTACAAAGAAATTTAGGAAGCCAGAACTGGAAGATCAACAACTGGAAGAAAAGAACCGTAGAGAGTTGAAGAAGAAGCAAATAGCTGATAGTTTACAGCTTCTTCAACTCGAAGAATTGCATGGAGCCGAGATAAATGCCCAAGAAGAAGGCAACAGTTACGTTCAATCAGAAGCAAAGAGCGAAAATATCAGGAGAGAACTAGTTCAAGAACAAGAACAAAGAAACAAAGTATCTCAATGGGTAGATTACACATCTTAACAATTTCATTATGATAGAAAAGAAAATCTGTCACGTATTCCTGAAAAACTGAGAAGCCCAATGATAACTCACCCAAGGTCGAAGAACAATTTCCCGATGAGAAACCAGGAAATCTCACGTACAGCTTTGCGGAACTGTTGCAAACGTTCTCAGAACGTTTTCTCTCCCAGCTTCAACAACTCAAAACCCAACGTCACATGAATAATGATCCGGATAAATTTCATATGCGAAAAGTATTAGAAAAGGATTTTCCACATTTTGATGGCAGTCCCCAAGATTGGCCCCTGTTCCATAAATCATTCAAGAATATTCGCAAATTTTGTGACTACAGCAATGAAGAGATCATGCTGAAGCATTCAGAGATTTCTAAAAGGGGAAGCAAAGACAACAGTTGCAGGAATGATGTTAACTGCCGATAACGTAGGCCTTGTGATTGAAACTTTAGAGAAACGGGGAAGACCTGAATACATCATAGTTGATGAACAGAATCAAGGATACTGATTCTGTTCCTTCCATAAGAGAAAGTAACTTTGGAAAGCTGATTCATTATTCTGCAGACGTGAGCAAAATGGTTTCGATCATGAAGAGTCTAGGAAGTGAACGTTATCTCGAAAATCCTCAATTTATTCGATAATTATTGACGAAAATTCCGGATTCAATGAAATTATCCTGGGGTGAAAAGGCATTCTCAGTGGCTAGAGTTCTTCGCGTCATTGAAGAAGACAGCGAAAACGAGAGTTTGTCCTTTGAAACCTCCTTCCATTCCTAGGCTTGAATTGGATACGAGGAGACGGAAGGAACTACAAACCGTTCGTATCACATCAAATCGATGATTGATATTTCTGCGTGGACGAAAGCCAGAAAAAAGAAATTTTTAAATTCATTATAACAAAAAAAAAGAATTTATTTGTCTAATATTTATTACTTATGTAGGTATATCTGTACTGTTCATTAGTTATAATCAAAATCATATTCTAACGAAATAAGAGTTATTTTGAATTTAAAATAATGATATTGAATCAAAATTAAGAAAATGTATTCAAACATTGGGGGCGGCGCGATTAACAGGGCCTACGGCGGCATCAAGCCTAAATATCCGTCACTGGGCTAGATACTTGAAGTCTTACAAGTTACTGCCTGTACTCCCAAATATGATGTATTGAAGTATTTTTACATTCAACGAGGTCTTACCGCTTAACGGGCAACGAACATGGCAAATACATCCTGTTATATATTACACATTGTAATACGAAATGTAACAAAAATAAAGTACACTCAATGTACTGTATCAACCAAAAAGTCTGCACCATACTGAAAACTTGTTCATTATTCATTTTTCAACAAAAATCCTAATAGCATCAATGCTGAATGATCAAATCGATCTAGTTTACTCAACTGTTTTCAAATTAGCGTACCGACATTGTCACAGGTAAACAAAATTCAGGCACTCAATTAAGTAGTACCTCCGTTATTATCTACAGTGGTGTTTAGATATATAAGGGCTAATATTATCAATTATTTTCAGTTTATTGTATTCGTTTTAATATGTTCTTATGGAACGAAACTGCAGTAACGTTAGTTACAAATACAAGTGGTAAAAAAACACACGGGGTACCCCTACCTGGCTGGGTGGGATGGATGAAAGATCTGTTCATCCTTTAACGGGGGACATGAGGGCCTCATTCGACAGAGTGTCGGGGCCTTCTATATCGGGAAGGGCCGTCTTCATAGCATAATATATAGCTTCCCTAACTAACGGATTTTTGTTGTTTCCGCACCTTCAAAAACTCGCCGATTCCTCGACTGAATTGACTGCCGAATGGAAGGCAGCTGCAAATCTCTGCGGATGGCTTCATTCCGCACGAACCAAGGAGCATTCACAATCATCCTCATTAGCTTATTTTGCAATACCTCCAGAATGGAGATATTATATTTCGCCGCTTGTCCCCAGACACCTGAAGCATACATGATGACAGGCTTGAACATTGTATTGTAGATGGTAATCTACAATACAATGTTCTTCAAACTCATTTTAGATTTTCTGTTGATCAGAGGATACAGACTTGCAATCCGACCCTCGATCTTTGATTTGACGTACATATGTGCGGGTTCCAAGTGAGCCTACGGTCTATTAGAAGGCCGAGGTACTTTACCCGCGCTTGCCAGTCAATCTCCCTTCCAGCGATTCTCACTTTTCTGGCCGGAGAAGATAGCAATCTTCCCATGGTTATTGCCTGAGCCTTGTCCGGGTTCACTCGGATCTTCCAATCGAGGTAAAAATGCACGTTGCATGTAGACGACGCCGAGCTCTCGACCCATGGAAGACGAGAGAAGAGCCGTGCCATCAGCGTATAGGGATATCTTCACACTCGGTCGAAGGCCTTCGAGATGTCTAATAGCACAATGCGCACTTTTTTATTTGTGTTTAGCTCATGGATGGTATTTTAGACCAGCCTTAGAGCCTGTAACTCAGTGTAGTGTTCTCTCCTGAAGCCAAATTGTTCATCAGGCAGAACATTTCGGTCCTCAACTTCTTCCTTGAGCCTTTGGAGAACAACTCTTTCAGCGGCCGACGAGAGTAGACGAATCGGGCGATAGTTCTGTGGGAACAGCGGGTTCTAACCTTGTTTTGGGATCATGACGACGACCGCATGCTTCCACCTCCTGGGGAAGTGTCCGAGGGTCAACGAACTGTATAGAAATGAATTGCTCAACTCGAAGTCCTTAAAGGACAAGCCTCAGGAAGTGAGCGCGATGACATCTCATCTTACGAAGACGCCATCTATGGGATCCACAGAGAACTCAAAGGAGGAGATATCCACTGTTGGAATAAAAAATGTTTAGCGAGTACCTAGGGTTGAACATTTTTCATTTGCATATCTAATTATTCATTATAAGTAATAATTATGTGTTAGGTTTGCATTAATTTCAGATATTGGACTACTTGAATAAATCACTATGGAAGACTGGTTAGTATTTCACTATCAGTAAATAGAAAATATAAGGTATAGGAATTACAACGCCTTGACTTCACTGCACAACAAAAAAAAGCAAATAACACGTCATATTGGTGGGGGGAGGATTAGAACCGGGAAAAAATTTCTGAACGATCCATACACCACACCCTTCAAGGTCACATCACAGTGACTTCACCAAACAACAACCAATAAAAAAGCCATTAATACGTCATAGTGGTGGGGGGAGGCTTAGAACCGGCTCAAATCTCCTACTGATAGCATATATCTACCTCTTATGTGGTAGCAACTATATGCGAAATACTGAGCCATAAAACAAATTTAAACTGGATACTTTTTTTACAATGCACATTTTAGAATATCTGTCAAGTTCTTATAAACATTTCAAGTATTTAGTAGAGATAAACTTTGTCTTTCACACAAAATAATTTGGACGAGTCATTCAAAATTATCACGATGAGATTAACTTGACGCAACGCAGTAAGCCATTACGAAACGCAGAAAGCCATTACGAAACGCAGAAAGCCATTGCGCTTCGCGTTTACTGTAAGACGACGGGAAACGATGCGCGGGGGAAGAGGGACGGTCTAAGCAATGAAGAACCATCACCAAGAACGCAACTAGAACGCGCGCAGACGCGTGAGAACAGACGTTGTTGACGGTTGTGTTAGCTTTGCGAATTTCAGTGTGACCCATTTTTTATGGAAACACCCCCCTAAAATTTGAAGTTGTAAATCGATTTTAATAATTTTTTTTTAAATGTCAAGTACTAAAAGGTCTACCTTGGAACAAAATTCGAAATGTTTATTAAAGTTTCAGGGCATACTTACGATATTTTTTCTTAGTCGAAAATCGGAATTTTTCATTAGCGATTTTTTTTATTGAAAAAATCACTACGCCACTGGATTCAGAGTGCCTCTAAATAGGTGTGACCAAAATTTCATGAAAAAATATTCATTATTAACAAAGTTATGACAACTCAAAAATTCGAAAACTCACACAGCTAACAGTCACAA